CCCGGCTTTCCTCCCGCACCAGTCGGGACTGGTTTGGACTGGGAGGGACTGGGGGATCCCCGTGGGATCCAGTGGCTCCTGGCAGGGTCATTATTACACCCCGTTATTTATCCATGGATTTTGTGATTTTTTGGGATCCGCCAGCCCCGGTTTATTGTCCCGGCTTTCCTCCCGCCCCAGTCGGGACTGGTTTGGACTGGGAGGGACTGGTTTGAACTGGGGGATCCCCGTGGGATCCAGTGGCTCCCGGCAGGGTCATTATTACACCCCGTTATTTATCCACGGATTTTGTGATTTTCGGGATCCGCCGCCCCCATTTATTGTCCCGGTTTTGCTCCTGCACCAGTAGGGACTGGGAGGGACTGGGAGGGACTGGTTTGAACTGGGGGATCCCGATGGGATCCGGTGGCTCCCGGCAGGGTCATTATTACACCCCGTTATTTATCCACGGATTTTGTGATTTTTTGGGATCCGCCGGCCCCGGTTTATTGTCCCGGCTTTCCTCCCGCCCCAGTAGGGACTGGGAGGGACTGGTTTGAACTGGGGGATCCCGGTGGGATCCAGTAGCTCCCACTCTGCCCCAGCAGGGCCATTACTACACCCCGTTATTTATCCACGGCTCCGGTGATTTTTCGGGATCCGCCGGCCCCCGTTTATTGTCCCGGCTTTCCCCCCGCCCCAGCCGGGACTGGTTTGGACTGGTTTGGACTGGGAGGGTCTCAGGAGTGCAGGAAGCGGTTGAAGGCGTTGTAGGCGGACTCCAGGTCGAAGAGCATCTGCCGGACCTGGGAGTCGTCCAGCTCGTCCGAGGCCGACATCCCGCTGAGCGTCTGCAGCCTTGGGAAGGGCCGGGGCGGGATCAGGGACCCCCCAAAACACCTGGGAGTGACCCCCCCTTGACCCCCTGGCCCGGGACTCACCACTGGTTGACCTTCTGCCGGCCCTCGAAGTCGGGGGGCAGGTGGCTCATGCGGTTCATGGTCTCCATGAGCTCCCGCAGGTCCGGCTGGATCTGTGGGAACGGGAGGGTTTGGGGTGAGGACGAGGCAGCCCCCTGGCAACGCTCCCGCGTCCCGAGACCCCAACACTCCCCATCCTGACCCCCCATCCCAATCCCATATCCTGATCCCAAATCCTGACCCCCCCATCCCAACGCTCCTGCGTCCCGAGCCCCCATCCCAACCCCCATCCCAATCCCATATCCCGATCCCAAATCCCAACCCCCCCATCCTGAGCCTACATCCTGACCCCCCATCCCGACCCCCCATCCCGACCCCCATCCCAAACCCAAATCCCGACCCCCCCATCCTGAGCCTACATCCCAACCCCCCATCCCAACCCCCCATCCCGACCCCCATCCCAACCCAAATCCCGACCCCACCATCCTGAGCCTACATCCTGACCCCCCATCCCAACGCTCCCCATCCCGACCCCCCAATCCTGACCCCCATCTCGACCCAAATCCCATCCCCCCATCCCAATGCTCCCCATCCCGACCCCCATTCCGACCCCCATCCCAATCCCATATCCTGATCCCAAATCCCGACCCCCATCCCGACCCCCCATCCCAACCCCAATCCCGACCCCCCCATCCCCACGCTCCCAATCCCGAACCCCCCATCCCAAACACCCCCTCCCAACACCCCATCCCAACACCCCCCATCCCAAATCCCCCCATCCCAAATCCCCCCATCCCAAATCCCCCCATCCCGACCCCCCCATCCCAGCCCCCTTCCCGACCCCCATCCCAATCCCCCATCCCAAATCCCACCATCCCAACGCCCCATCCCGACCCCAATCCCGCCCCCATCCCGATCCCACCTCGTCCATGGCTCGGATCTCCAGGCGCAGTTTGTCCATCACCGTGATGAAGAGCTGGGGGAAGAGCAAGGATTGGGATCACCGGGATGGGATCAATGGGATGGGATCAATGGGATGGGATCAGATCACTGGGATGGGATCACCGGGATGGGATCACCGGGATGGGATCATTGGGATGGGATCACCGGGATGGGATCAATGGGATGGGATCAATGGGATGGGATCATTGGGATGGGATCATTGGGATGGGATCAATGGGATGGGATCACCGGGATGGGATCAATGGGATGGGATCACCGGGATGGGATCAATGGGATGGGATCAATGGGATGGGATCAGATCACCGGGATGGGATCAATGGGATGGGATCACCGGGATGGGATCACCAGGATGGGATCAATGGGATGGGATCAATGGGATGGGATCATTGGGATGGGATCACTGGGATGGGATCATTGGGATGGGATCATTGGGATGGGATCACTGGGATGGGATCATTGGGATGGGATCACCGGGATGGGATCACCGGGATGGGATCACTGGGATGGGATCACTGGGATGGGATCAGATCACTGGGATGTGATCACCGGGATTGGATCATTGGGATGGGATCACCGGGATGGGATCACCGGGATGGGATCACTGGGATGGGATCACTGGGATGGGATCACCGGGATGGGATCACCAGGATGGGATCACTGGGATGGGATCACTGGGATGGGATCAGATCACTGGGATGTGATCACCGGGATTGGATCATTGGGATGGGATCACTGGGATGGGATCACTGGGATGGGATCACCGGGATGGGATCAGATCACTGGGATGGGATCAATGGGATGGGATCACCAAGATGGGATCAGATCACTGGGATGGGATCACTGGGATGGGATCACCGGGATGGGATCACCGGGATGGGATCACTGGGATGGGATCAGATCACTGGGATGGGATCAGATCACCGGGATGAGATCATTGGGATGGGATCACAAGGATGGGATCCCTGGGATGGGATCAGATCACTGGGATGGGATCACAGGGATGGGATCACTGGGATGGGATCATTGGGATGGGATCACTGGGATGGGATCACCGGGATGGGATCAGATCACCGGGATGGGATCACTGGGATGGGATCACCGGGATGGGATCAGATCACTGGGATGGGATCACCGGGATTGGATCATTGGGATGGGATCACCGGGATGGGATCACGGGGATGGGATCACCGGGATGGGATCAATGGGATGGGATCACTGGGATGGGATCAGATCACTGGGATGGGATCACTGGGATGGGATCACCGGGATGGGATCAATGGGATGGGATCACCGGGATGGGATCACCGGGATGGGATCACTGGGATGGGATCATTGGGATGGGATCACTGGGATGGGATCACTGGGATGGGATCAGATCACTGGGATGGGATCAATGGGATGGGATCACCGGGATGGGATCACCGGGATGGGATCACCGGGATGGGATCACCGGGACGGGATCACCGGGACGGGATCACCGGGATGGGATCACTGGGATGGGATCACTGGGATGGGATCATTGGGATGGGATCACCGGGATGGGATCACTGAGATGGGATCAGATCACTGGGATGGGATCACCGGGATGGGATCAGATCACTATGATGGGATCACTGGGATGGGATCAGATCACTGGGATGGGATCACTGGGATGGGATCAATGGGATGGGATCAATGGGATGGGATCAATGGGATGGGATCATTGAGATGGGATCATTGGGATGGGATCATTGGGATGGGATCACTGGGATGGGATCACTGGGATGGGATCATTGGGATGGGATCACTGGGATGGGATCACTGGGATGGGATCAGATCCCCCCCCCCCCCCCCCCCCCCCCCCCCCCTCCATGATGGGATCAGATTCACCGGGGATTGGATCACTGGGATGTGATCACTGGGATGGGATCACTGGGATGGGATCACTGGGATGGGATCACTGGGATGGGATCATTGGGATGGGATCACTGGGATGGGATCACTGGGATGGGATCAGATCACCAGGATGGGATCAGATCACCGGGATGGGATCACTGGGATGGGATCACTGGGATGGGATCACTGGGATGGGATCAGATCACTGGGATGGGATCACTGGGATGGGATCACTGGGATGGGATCACCGGGATGGGATCACTGGGATGGGATCAGATCACTGGGATGTGATCACCGGGATTGGATCATTGGGATGGGATCACTGGGATGGGATCACGGGGATGTGATCACGGGGATGGGATCACCGGGATGGGATCAGATCACTATGATGGGATCACTGGGATGGGATCAGATCACTGGGATGGGATCACCAGGATGGGATCACTGGGATGGGATCACTGGGATGGGATCACTGGGATGGGATCAGATCACCGGGATGGGATCACCGGGATGGGATCAATGGGATGGGATCACCGGGATGGGATCGCTGGGATGGGATCATAGGGATGGGATCACCGGGATGGGATCAATGGGATGGGATCAATGGGATGGGATCAGATCACCGGGATGGGATCAGATCACCGGGATGGGATCAGATCACCGGGATGAGATCATTGGGATGGGATCACAAGGATGGGATCCCTGGGATGGGATCAGATCACTGGGATGGGATCACAGGGATGGGATCACCGAGAGGGGATCACCAGGAGGGGATCACTGGGATGGGATCAGATCACTGGGATCAGATCACAGGGATGGGATCACTGGGATCGGATCACTGGGATGGGATCAATGGGATGGGATCACGGGGATGGGATCGCCGGGATGGGATCATCAGGATGGGATCACTGGGATGGGATCACCAGGATGGGATCATTGGGATGGGATCAGATCACAGGGATGGGATCGCCGGGATGGGATCATCGGGATGGGATCACCGGGATGGGATCACTGGGATGGGATCACGGGGATGGGATCGCCGGGATGGGATCACAGGGATGGGATCACAGGGATGGCATCACCGGACGGGATCACCGGGATCAGACCCCGCCATTCCCGCCATTCCCGCCCCCCTTGGATCCGTACGGAGACGATGTCGGCGATGCAGCGGTTGAGGTTGCCCTTGTCGTCCTTGATGGTGATGGGTCTGTCCTCCTTGATCCTCTCCATGGCCAGGGGACAGTCCAGCTGCGGGGAGGGGACAGCCCGTGGCTCACGGAGCCCTCCCCGGACACCCGGAATTCCGGGGGGATCCCGGGGGGGCTCCAGCGGCTCACCCGGAACTTGCGGCAGAAGTCGTCGATGGAGCTGATCTCGGAGCCCTGGACCTGCTTCAGGGCGGCCTTGAACTGCACCAGGAGGCGGGAGCAGGCGGCCGTGTACCTGGAACGGGGGTTTGGGGTGTCCCAGCCCATCCCGGGGCTTTGGGGGGTCCCAGAGATTTGGGGTGTCCCAGCCCATCCCAGAGATTTGGGGTGTCCCAGCCCATCCCGGGGATTTGGGGTGTCCCAGCCCATCCCGGGGATTTGGGGTGTCCCAGCCCATCCCGGGGATTTGGGGTGTCCCAGAGATTTGGGGTGTCCCAGCCCATCCTGATGATTTGGGGTGTCCCAGCCCATCCCATAGATTTGGGGTGTCCCAGCCCATCCCATAGATTTGGGGGGTCCCAGAGATTTGGGGTGTCCCAGCCCATCCCAGGATTTGGGGTGTCCCAGCCCATCCCGGGGGTTTGGGGTGTCCCAGCCCATCCCGGGGATTTGGGGTGTCCCAGAGATTTGGGGTGTCCCAGCCCATCCCAGGGCTTTGGGGTGTCCCAGCCCATCCTGATGATTTGGGGTGTCCCAGCCCATCCCAAGGATTTGGGGTGTCCCAGCCCATCCCAAGGATTTGGGGGGTCCCAGCCCATCCCGGGGGTTTGGGGTGTCCCAGCTCATCCTGGGGGTTTGGGGTGTCCCAGAGATTTGGGGTGTCCCAGCCCATCCCAGGATTTGGGGTGTCCCAGCCCATCCTGGGGGTTTGGGGTGTCCCAGAGATTTGGGGTGTCCCAGCTCATCCCAGGATTTGGGGTGTCCCAGAGATTTGGGGTGTCCCAGCCCATCCTGATGATTTGGGGTGTCCCAGCCCATCCCAAGGATTTGGGGTGTCCCAGAGATTTGGGGTGTCCCAGCCCATCCCAGAGATTTGGGGTGTCCCAGCCCATCCCAGGATCTGGGGTGTCCCAGCCCATCCCGGGGATTTGGGGTGTCCCAGCCCATCCCATAGATTTGGGGTGTCCCAGCCCATCCCAAGGATTTGGGGTGTCCCAGCCCATCCCAAGGATTTGGGGTGTCCCAGAGATTTGGGGTGTCCCAGCCCATCCCAAGGATTTGGGGTGTCCCAAAGATTTGGGGTGTCCCAGCCCATCCCAGGGATTTGGGGTGTCCCAGCCCATCCTGATGATTTGGGGTGTCCCAGCCCATCCCAGGGATTTGGGGTGTCCCAGAGATTTGGGGTGTCCCAGCCCATCCTGATGATTTGGGGTGTCCCAGCCCATCCCGGGGATTTGGGGTGTCTCAGCCCATCCCAGGGATTTGGGGTGTCCCAGTCCATCCCAGGATTTGGGGTGTCCCAGTCCACCCCAAGGATTTGGGGTGTCCCAGCCCATCCCAGGGATTTGGGGTGTCCCATCCCATCCCAAGGATTTGGGATGTTCCCAGCTCCGACACTCGTTGGGGGACACGCAGTCCTTGTGCCCAGGGCCTGGGGTGGGAATGGGGGCACAGGGAGGGGGCACAAGGGGGTCCCTGCCCTTCCCATCCCATCCCATCCCATCCCATCCCATCCCATCCCATCCCATCCCGTCCCGTCCCATCCCATCCCATCCCATCCCGTCCCATCCCATCCCATCCCATCCCATCCCATCCCATCCCAAGGATTTGGGCTGTCCCTCACTCACTCGTTGGGGGTCACACAATCCTTGATGTCGGCCTGGAGTGGGGATGGGGGGACAGGGAGGGGGCACAATGGGGGTCCCTGCCAATCCCATCCCATCCCAAGGATTTGGGATGTTCCCAGATCCCACACTCACTCGTTGGGGGACACGCAGTCCTTGTGTCCAGGGCCTGGGGTGGGAATGGGGGGGCAGGGAGGGGGCACAAGGGGGTCCCTGCCAATCCCATCCCATCCCATCCCAAGGATTTGGGCTGTTCCCAGATCCCACACTCACTCGTTTGGGGTCACACAATCCTTGATGTCGGCCTGGAGTGGGGATGGGGGGGCAGGGGGGGATCCCATCCCATCCCAAGGATTTGGGATGTTCCCAGCTCCCTCACTCACTCGTTGGGGGTCACACAATCCTTGATGTCGGCCTGGAGTGGGAATGGGGGGGGAGGAGGGGATCCCATCCCATCCCAATCCCATCCCATCCCATCCCAAGGATTTGGGATATCCCAGCTCCCACACTCACTCATTTGGGGTCACGCAATCCTTGATGTAGGCCTGGAGTGGGGATGGGGGGACAGGGGGGGGTCCCATCCCATCCCAAGGATTTGGGATGTTCCCAGCTCCCACACTCACTCGTTTGGGGTCACGCAATCCTTGATGTAGGCCTGGAGTGGGGATGGGGGGACAGGGAGGGGCCATGGGGGTGTCTCTGTCAATCCCAAGGATTTGGGATATCTCAGATCCCTCACTCACTCATTTGGGGTCACACAATCCTTGATGTAGGCCTTCTCCAGCGCCTGCAGCGTCTTCACCACCGCAAACAGCTCGGCCATGTTGTCGTACCTGGGGGGACGGGAGGGAAGGGCCGTGTCCTGGGAGAGGGACCGGGAAAGGGACCGGGATGGAAGGGCCGTGTCCCGGGAAAGGGACCGGGATGGAAGGGCCGTGTCCCGGGAGAGGGACCGGGAAAGGGACCGGGATGGAAGGGCCGTGTCCCGGGAAAGGGACCGGGAAAGGGACCGGGATGGAAGGGCCGTGTCCCGGGAAAGGGACCGGGATGGAAGGGCCGTGTCCCGGGAGAGGGACCGGGATGGAAGGGCCGTGTCCCAGGAAAGGGACCGGGATGGAAGGGCCGTGTCCCAGGAAAGGGATCGGGATGGAAGGGCCGTGTCCCGGGAGAGGGACCGGGATGGAAGGGCCGTGACCCGGGAAAGGGAACAGGAGAGGGACCGGGATGGAAGGGCCGTGTCCTGGGAAAGGGAACGGGAAAGGGACCGGGATGGAAGGGCCGTGTCCCGGGAGAGGGACCGGGAAAGGGACCGGGAGGGAAGGGTCGTGTCCCGGGAGAGGGACCGGGATGGAAGGGCCGTGTCCCGGGAGAGGGACCGGGAAAGGGACCGGGAGGGAAGGGCCGTGTCCCGGGAGAGGGACCGGGAAAGGGACCGGGATGGAAGGGTCGTGTCCCGGGAGAGGGACCGGGATGGAAGGGCCGTGTCCCGGGAGAGGGACTGGGAAAGGGACCGGGAGGGAAGGGCCGTGTCCCGGGAATGGGACTGGGATGGAAGGGTCGTGTCCCAGGAAAGGGACCGGGATGGAAGGGCCGTGTCCAAGGAAAGGGACTGGGATGGAAGGGCCGTGTCCCGGGAAAGGGACCGGGATGGAAGGGTCATGTCCTGGGAAAGGGACTGGGATGGAAGGGTCGTGTCCCAGGAGAGGGACCGGGAGGGAAGGGCCGTGTCCTGGGAAAGGGACTGGGAGGGAAGGGTCGTGTCCCAGGAAAGGGACCGGGAGGGAAGGGCCGTGTCCTGGGAAAGGGACTGGGATGGAAGGGCCGTGTCCAGGGAAAGGGACTGGGAGGGAAGGGCCGTGTCCAAGGAAAGGGACCGGGATGGAAGGGTCATGTCCTGGGAAAGGGACCGGGATGGAAGGGCCGTGTCCAGGGAAAGGGACTGGGAGGGAAGGGCCGTGTCCTGGGAGAGGGACTGGGAGGGAAGGGCCGTGTCCAAGGAAAGGGACCGGGATGGAAGGGCCGTGTCCAGGGAAAGGGACTGGGATGGAAGGGCCGTGTCCCGGGAGAGGGACCGGGATGGAGCACAGGGAGCCGGGAAGGGCCATGGCTGGGAAGGGAGGGGACAGGGTGGGCAGTGGAGTCCCGGGAGGGAACACAAGGGAGAAGGGAGGATGGTGATGGAGAACGTTGTCCCGGGATGAAGAATATCCCAGGAGGGAACACAAGGGAGAAGGGAGGATGGTGATGGAGAACATTGTCCCGGGATGAAGAGTATCCCAGGAGGGAACACAAGGGAGAAGGGAGGATGGTGATGGAGAACGTTGTCCCGGGATGAAGAGTATCCCAGGAAGGAACACAGTGGAGAGGAGGGAGGATGGTGATGGAGAACATTGTCCCGGGATGAAGAGTATCCCAGGAGGGAACACAAGGGAGAAGGGAGGATGGTGATGGAGAACGTTGTCCCGGGATGAAGAATATCCCAGGATGAAGAATATCCCAGGAAGGAACACAAGGGAGAAGGGAGGATGGTGATGGAGAACGTTGTCCCGGGATGGACCAGGATGGAGAGAAGGGGACCAGGAGGGAAAAGAGGGGACTGGGGGGAACCACGATGGAGAGAAGGGAAGAGGATGGAGAACTGGGGGCGATGGGGAAGGGGGTCCCAGGAGGGGTCTGGGATGGAGAAGGGGGTCCCAGGAGGGGTCTGGGATGGAGAAGGGGGTCCCAGGCGGGGTCTGGATGGTGAAGGGGGGGTGGGTACCAGGAGGGTGGGATGGGGAGGAAGGGGGTCCAGAAGTGGACAGGATGGGAAGGAAGGGAAAGAAAAGGGGGTGCCCAGGGGAGGGGTCTCTGGGGTGAAAACGGGTGTCCCCCTGGGGGGATGGGATGGAGAAGGGGGGTCCCAGGAAAGGGTTCGGGATAGAAAGGGTGGGTCCCAGGAGGGGTCTGGAGGACACCAGGGGTGGGCTGTTGCTGGGGATAGGGGGGTTCCCAGAGGTGTCTGGGCTGGACGGGGGGGGGGGCTCGTTGCTGGGGAAGGGGTCCCAGGAGGGGTCTGGGATGGAAAAGGAGGTCCCAGGAAGGGTCTGGGATAGAAAAGGGGGTCCCAGGAGGGATCTGAGATGGAGAAGGGGGGGCTGTTGACAGGGAAGGGGGTCCCAGGAGGGGTCTGGGATGGGGAAAGTGGGTCCCAGGAGGGGTTTGGGATGGGGAAGGGGGTCCCAGGAGGGGTCTGGGATGGAGAAGGGGGTCCCAGGAGGGGTCTGGGATGGAAAAGGGGGTCCCAGGAAGTGTCGGGACTGGGGGAAGGGGGTCCCAGGAGGGGTCTGGGATGGAGAAGGGGGTCCCAGGAGGGGTCTGGGATGGACACAGGGGGGCTGTTGATGGAGAAGGGGGTCCCAGGAGGGGTCTGGGATGGACACAGGGGGGTCCCAGGAGGTGTCTGGGATGGGGAAGGGAATGGGGTCCCAGGAGGGGTCTGGCGTGGGGAAGGGGGTCCCAGGAGGGGTCTGGGATGGGGAAGGGGGTCCCAGGAGGGGTCTGGGGTGAGGAAAGGGGTCCCAGGAGGGGTCTGGGGTGGGGAAAGGGGTCCCAGGAGGGGTCTGGGATGGGGAAGGGGGTCCCAGGAGGGGTCTGGGATGGACACAGGGGGGCTGTTGATGGAGAAGGGGGTCCCAGGAGGGGTCTGGGATGGACACAGGGTGGGTTGTTGATGGGGAAGGGGGTCCCAGGAGGGGTCTGGGATGGCAAAGTGGGGGTTCCCGGAGGGGCTGGGATGGACACAGGGGGGGTTGTTGATGGGGAAGGGCTGGTCCCATGAGGGCTGGGAGGAAAACAGGGGGTGCTGTTGATGGGGAGGAAGGGGGTCCCCGGCGGGTTCTGGGATGGGACCAGGGGGTTGTGATGGTGGAAGGGGGTCCCAGGATGGGTCTGGGGATGGGGGCAGGGGGTCCCAGGAGGGGTCTGGGATGGACACAGGGGGGGCTGTCAATGGAGAAGGGGGTCCCAGGAGGGGTCTGGGATGGGGAAGGGGGTCCCAGGAGGGGTCTGGGATGGGGAAGGGGGTCCCAGGAGGGGTCTGGGATGGAAAAGGGGGTCCCAGGAGGGGTCTGGGATGGACACAGGGGGGCTGTTGACGGGGAAGGGGGTCCCAGGAATGCCCCCAATGGAAGAGGGGGTCTGGTGCCACCCCCGGTGCCCCAAACCCTCCCTCTCCCAGCCCCTCTGCTCCCCCCGGGCCCGGAGGTGGGACCGGGGGATCTTTACCCCCCCTCCCCCAAATCCCACCCACCCCTCCCCAAAATCCCGGGACCCCCCCGCGCTCCTCACTCACTTCTCCCTCTCCCGGGCGTTCTTGTAGAGCTTCACCTCCTGCGGGGGGACACGGGGGGTCACGGGGGGACAATGGGGGGTCACGGGGGGTCACGGGGGGGTCACGGGGGGCCACGGGGGGACAATGGGGGGGTCGGTTCAGGGGGGTCAGGGGGGACAATGGGGGGGGTCACGGGGTGGGCGGGGTCACGGGGGGTCAGTCCCGGGGGGGACAATGAGGGGGGGGGTCGTCATGGGGTCAGTCCCGGGGGTACCCAAAAATTTTTGGGGGGGTTCGGTTACGGGGGGGGGTCAGTCCCGGGGGGACAATGGGGGGGTCGTCAAGGGGGGTCCGTCCCGGGGGGACCCATGGGGGGGTTCGGTCAGGGGGGCGGTCACGGGGGGTCTGTCCCGGGGGGACAATGGGGGGGTCGGTCACGGGGGGGGTCAGTCCCGGGGGGACAATGGGGGGGGGGTCGGTCACGGGGGGTCAGTCCCGGGGGGACAATGAGGGGGGGTCAGTCACGGGGGGCGACCCCAGGACCGGCCCCAATTCGGGGGGTGTGTGTGGGGGGTGTCCCACTCACCTCGTACAGCTCCGGTTTGTTCCCGGGGGCTGCGAAGGGAAGGGGGGGCGGCGTTAGAGGGGGGTGGGAGCCCCGGGAACCTCCGGGAAACGCCAGGAACCTCCCGGAGACCCCTCACCGGGAACCTCCGGGACTCCCCCCTCCCCCCGGCTCTCACCGCCCATCCCGGCCGGGCCCGCGATCCCGTGGAACATCCCCGGCCGAGCCTGGAGGGGTCCGGGCCCCCCTTAATCCCGATCCCGGTCCTGATCCCGATCCCGATCCCTGCGCCGCTTCCGGGTGGTTCCGTACGGACTTCCCTTCCCAGAATGCCTCTTTTCCCATGTCCCTCCCCTTCCGGCGGCGCATCCGCATTCCATTGGCTTATCTCTTTTTCCTTTCTATTTACGCGGCTCTGATTGGCTGTTAGGCCCGCCCGTCACGGCGGTTGCCGGGCGACGCCGCCATGTGTGCTCTTCGCCATGGCGGCGCAGGAGAAGCCGGCGGTGCCGGAGCTGAGGACGCTGCTGGCCCCGGGGCGGCCGAGACGTCGGTGGCGGCCCCGACCGAGGCTCCCCCGGCGCTGCCGAGGCGTGGCGTGGCCTAATTAGAGCCGCGGCCTAATTGCGGCCGTGTCCGAGGGGCCGCCCCGCCTCTTCCGTACAGCCCTCCCTTCCCCATGTCCCGCCCCCACTGGCAGCCCATTGGCTCACGCCCTCCGCCTCCGCGTGTGATTGGCTGTTAGACCCGCCCATCGCGCGGTTGCCGAGCAACGCCGGCGCGGCAGCAATGGCGGCGGCGGCGAAGAAGGAGGAACACATGGAGGGCAAGGCCGAGGAGGCGGCGGCGCTGTCGGAGCTCACGGCGCTGCTCTCTCCGTCCTGCCCCGCGGCTGCGGCGCTGTCGGGGCGTGGCGTGGCCTAATTAGACCCGCGGCCTAATTGCGGCCGTGTCCGAGGGGCCGCCCCGCCTCTTCCGTACAGCCCTCCCTTCCCTTTCCCATGTCCCGCCCCCGCTGGCAGCCCATTGGCTCACACCCTCTCCCTCCGCGTGTGATTGGCTGATAGACCCGCCCATCGCGCGGTTGCCAAGCAACGCCGGCGCGGCAGCAATGGCGGCGGCGGCGGCGAAGAAGGAGGAACACATGGAGGGCAAGGCCGAGGAGGCGGCGGCTCTGTCGGAGCTCACGGCGCTGCTCTCTCCGTCCTCCCCCGCGGCCGCGGCG